CCTCAAACTCAACTTCGCAAGAAACATAATTCATGTTCATTTCACTCTGAAATTATAAGAGCTACTTTCAGGTGTAATTCGGGGATTTTGGAATTAATTTGGTGCATTAATTAACCTGAAGGAGTTCATTCACTGATATTGACTGACCGCAATGGCAAAGAATTGGGGAGCAACCCTATGCATAAGAAGCTAACGTAAAGCAAGCTGGCATAAATTAAGCCGGCGTGAAGTTACCCCAGATCCAAACTCTGTTCAGCAGTGGGGCTGCTGACGCCCCCTGCATAAGCCTGGCAGAGAGAAAACGAGTCCTTAAAATAGTGTTCGAGTGACACCATCCTGTTTGATGGCTTAATTTATGCAGGCAGTGGCGTAGCGTGGGTTGTCAGCACCCGGGGCAAGGCAAGTAATTTGCGCCCCCTAACCCGTGGATTTGCGCCCCCTAACCCTAACCCCCAGATGTTGCGCCCGGTGCGGCCCGCCCCCCCTGCACCCCCCACGCTATGCCACTGTATGCAGGATTGCCAGGTCACGTGACCATCTCTAGTCCTGCCCCTGCCACGCCCCCTTTCCAGCACTTATATGAGTTTAAGATCTGTGGGGCTTGGCTTAGCTGGCTGGGGGCCCTGGCTGAGCTGGGATGAAGGTGTTACACCAGCAAATATCCTACTGAGCTGAGCATCAGGGAGTTAAGATGGCTTAGGCCAGCTATGCCAGGAAGCTCCCAAGTCCCAGCAGATCTTGTTATAGAATCACTCCGTTAGTTATATATGGGGAGGTGAGGGTTGTTTTTGTTTTAAAAAAGTTGATTGAAGACGTATTCATGCTGACACAATATAATTAGAGAAGGTGATGAGGTTCTCAAGTAGCAAAAGCAAGTGAAATCCAGGTCAGACGTCCCTTTTACTTTTGAAGTTTTAATGGCCGCTCCAGTTTTACAACGGCCACTCACTGACGTTTGAAGCAAGCATGTGTTAAAAGTCGGAATGATTTCCATTTGTCTCTAGCAATTCTTAAAGCTTCTGAGGGTTCTGAGCTCATCAAGCAGACAGGACTAAAGGACTTCTGCAGGCATTTGATGCAGACACTGCTGCCATTTAGCTGCTTTAAGATATCCCTGTGCACTGTTTCTAATACAATATTTGTACCTTTTAAATACACACCCAATTACAAAGGCGACCGTGGAGCTAAAATCAGGTCTGTATCTGAAGGATAAATTTTCAAATGAAGGATTATTTGGAGAAATATTACAATATGAAGAATCTGCAACCAGGTTTCGAACTAAGAGCAACAGAAATAATTTGAGACTATTGTGTTACGACTATGATAAAAAAAAAAAAGATTGGAGATAGGTTTCAGCAAAGGGGAGATAAGAATAGCATCAAGGAAAATGGGTTGGGAAATCGAAAATAGAAAAGAATTCTTTTATAATATGTACTGGAATTTTATGTGTACTTTTTTTGGAAAACTTAATAAAAAATATTATCAAAGTATTATTTTTCAAAGTTGTATAAATCACAAGTGATGCAGAACCCTCTGCTACATCCAATGGTAGCTTCATTGCTATCTGGCTCCATGCAAACAGCCCATGGCACCTGTAGTTTGGTCCTTGCTTGCTTTTGGTGAAGGAATGTAGTTGCCATGTGGATATTCACTAGTGATTATTTATTTGTTTAATTTATTAATTAAATTTGTATACCACTGTTCACCTGAAGATTACAGGGTGGTTCACAATGGATGGATCTACACACACAGGACGCGACGCTATGAATAAGTCAGAAATTAAATCGTTCTAACAAAAGAAAAAAAACCTTATGTAAAAATACTACAGAAAGGTTTTGTGCTCTCTGGCACCACCTGGTGTTGTATGTTAATAACACATTAAAATCACTGGTGTTTTTTTTACTAATGTAGCTGAGTCCAACATAAAATATAAAATGAAAACGCAAAACGCATAATGAAACAAAAACAAAAGGAAAACAAACCAATATCCCCCATTCCATAGAATGTTAATCAGCCAAATGCCTGGCTGAAGAGAAAAGTTTTTGCCTGGCACCTAAAGATATGTAATAAAGGCACCAGGCAAGGCTCCTTGCAGAGAGCATTCCACAAACAAGGAGCCACTGCAAAAAAGGACTCGTTTTTGTGTTGCCACCCTCTGAACTCATGGAGGAGCCACACGAAGAAGGGCATCAGGTGATGATCGCAGGGTCTGGGTCAGTTCATATGGGGAAGGTGGTCCTTGAGTTAATACAGTCCTGAGTGATTACCACTCCCCCCCTCAAAAAAAAGGATTACCACTCCCCCCCCCCATCCTCTAAGGATGAGGTTATTTGATATAGTACAATGATGGGGATCTTGTGGTCTTCAAAATGTTCTTAGACTGTAATTCCCATCATCCCTGATATTTTGGTGTATATTTTATTAACTTGTTATTATGCTGCCCTGGGAACCTTCAGCTTGCAGGGTGCGTTATAAATATTCCTACAGCACAACTGGATCAACACAGCTATTTGAATTTTTGGACTTTCCGGGGGGTGGTCATATTTATGGACCCTCCTGGGGAGCTCGTGATGAACTTCTGCACTTCTAAGTTTACTACGTCACCGTTTCCCAGTGATCTAACTAATGAGTGCAAAACCACTGGGATGGTTTAAAAAGCACCTCCCACTGTGTGGTAAAACAGAGGGGACACTAACACGTTTGGTGGACCTGTGAAAAAATCAAAAGCTTCTGGAATATAGCTTAAACAAATGTTTATGATGAGCTTAAACAAATGTTTATGTATAACTTTATGAAAAATACAGAAGCTTTTCTACTAGGGATAACGGACACAGGTATAGCAAGAGAAGATCAGAAAATATTCCTCTATGCCACAGTAGCGGCAAGGATCCTAATTGCTAAAAACTGGAAAAAAGAAATTGTGCCAACAGAAAAGGAATGGCAAGACAAAGTGTTAGAGTATATTGAATTGGCTAGATTAACAGAGGCAATTAGAGATCACACTAGACAAGAGTTTCAAAAAGCATGGGGAAAATGCAGAGTATACTTCACAAAACAGTGCCCTAAAATACATACCTGGACTTGTTTCGATTAATGTCTGCAGGAGACTTTGTGGATATTTAAGTTATAATTAGAAAAATCTTAATAATTATTCATAAAGGAAACAGCTTATAAGAAGTAAATAAGGAGGCCAGGTACAGGATAAAGGAAGTCTTTTATTTGGTTGTTTGTATTGTTGTATGTTATGTTTATTGTATTTCTGTATTGGGGTTTATGTTATGTTGTAAATAAAATTTCCAATAAAAATAAAAAAAATAAAAAGCACCTCCCACTGATCTAATTCATTCTTTGGCCAGGGATGAGACATATGGCAGAAGCTGCTCTGTTTAGATTAGCCAAATCTGTGTCTTACACATCTTCTACCCTGGAACTTGGAAGCCTCACAGCCCCAAAGTTGCAATTGCTCAGCAGTGCGAGAAAAATTACTCAGCACATGCTTGGAGACGCTTGCTGTTTCATCAGTATCTCACCTGGATTATTCCAGGGATAAATCCTGGTTTTAAAAATGTTTCAGAACTGAGGCTTGATGAAGTCTAAGCAGAGCCGTCTTTCCCATTGGTCTTAGTGGTTCGTTGCGCCAGGCCGCCAGCCTCTCAGGGACGCACTAGCGAGTACGGGAGCTTTGCGGCTTTGCCGGCAGCCTCCCCTTTCCCTGCACACCTGCCAGCTGCGCCCCACCAACTATATGGCTGGCGGGTGTGCAGCTTCCTTCCCAATCCTCCACAGGGGGGGAGCAATCCCTGCAGAGGCTCTGCAAAAGACAGGGTCGTTGTCAGTGTGGTGTAGTGGTTAAGAGCGGTAGACTTGTATTCTGGTGAACTGGGTTCGCATCTCCGCTCCTCCACATGCAGCTGCTGGGTGACCTTGGGCTAGTCACACTTCTCTTAAGTTTCTCAGCCCCACTCACCTCACAGAGTGTTTGTTGTGGGGGAGGAAGGGAAAGGAGAATGTTAGCCGCTTTAAGATTCCTTTGGGTAGTGATAAAGCGGGATACCAAATCCAAACTCTTCTTCTTCTTCCTCCTGCTTCCTGGCGAAAGGCAGCGCGCAGCCTTCCCGGGCTGCCTTCCTGGGTGCTCCAACGCCGGAGAGCATGTCCACCAGCACGTTTTCCTGCTTGATTGCCACCACCATGCCGGGGATCGGGGCGGTGGGGGATTCAGAGGACATTTTCCACCACCCCCTCCCTTGTTTTGGAGTTGCTGGGGGGGGGCCCGCCGGAGGGATCTTTGCACCACGGTGTCAGATATGCTTAAGACGGCCCTGAGTCTGAGGGTGGCTTAAGACTAGAAAAGAAGGAGGGGAATCAAAGGGATCTGAAGTTGTCTCTAATCCATGAAAACCTATGCCATAAGAAAGTGTTGGTCTTTAAGATGCCACAGGGCTCTTTGTTGTTGATCTAAATGGCCTCTGAAGGAGCGTCTCCACCCCCATCGTTCTACCCAGACACTGAAGTCCAGAGCCAAGGGCCTTCTGGCGGTTCCCTCACTGAGAGAAGCCAAGTTACAGGGAACCAGGCAGAGGGCCTTCTTGGTAGTGGCACCTGCCCTGTGGAATGCCCTCCCACCAGATGTCAAAGAAAAGAACAACTACCAGACTTTTAGAAGACACCTGAAGGCAGCCCTGTTTAGGGAAGCTTTTAATGTTTGATGTATTACAGTATTTTAATATATTTTTTTGGGGGGGGGAGCCCAGCCAGATGGGCGGGGTGTAAATAATAATAATAATAATTATAAAGCAACTTGTTGCCTTCGAGTTCTTTGGTTGAAGGGTGATGCATTTGCACAAATGCATAAAAATAAATAATGCTACTGCTGGAAGATATGGTGGGTGAGAGAGAGTGGAGGTGGGAAGAGAGAGGTAAGTGGAATCATAGAATTGTAGGGTTGGAAGGGACCACGAGAGTCATCCAGCCCAACCCACTCCAGTGCAGGAATATTTTGCCCAATGTGGGACTTGAACCCACAAGCCTGAGAATAAGAGTCTTGTGCTCTACCAACTGAGCTATCCCGCTGGCAATCAATATACTTGTCTTTCTGACTGGGCATTTATTTCTTAGGTCACATCCACACCATACATTCAAAGCACATGGCTTCCCCCAAAGAATACTGGGAACTGTGGTATGTTGAGGGTGTTGGGAACTATAGTTTACTGCTTACAAAGCTGCCATTTCCAGTTGAGCCACCTGGATAGCACAGTTGGTTTTAGAGAATGGTGCTGATAATGGCAAGGTTGCAGGTTTGATCCCCGTATAGGACAGCTGCATATTCCTGCATTGCAGTGCGTTGAACTAGATCAGGAGTCAGCAACCTTTTTCAGCTGTGGGCTGGTCCACCGTCCCTCAGACCATGTGGTGGGCCGGACTATATTTTTTTTGGGGGGGGGAGGAATGAACAAATTCCCCACAAATAACCCAGAGATGCAGTTTAAACAAAAGGACACATTCTACTCATGTAAAGACACACTGATTCCTGGACTGTCCATGGGCCAGATTTAGAAGGCAATTGGGCCGCATCCGGCCCCCGGGCCTTAGGTTGCCTACCCTTGGACTAGATCCTCAGGGTCCCTTCCAACTCTACAAGTCTATGATTCTATGATGGAGTTCCCAGGATCCTTTGCGGGGGAGACATGAGCTTTAAATGTATGCAGCTCATAATTATGAAAGAACATTATGAACACAAGAAGCTGATAAAGTTAAGACCCAAATTTTAAATTTTAAGGTTTACTTTATTATAGAAAGATAGGATTAAATTAGTTGAGAATCTCTCTTATGTTTTATTTTCTTTTTGAAATATGGAAAGGAAAGGATTTGCTGGGATAATTAACAACTAGAATACAAAGGAAGGGAGGAGGAGGAGGTCTAAGAAAGAAGGTAATGACAGTTAAGGATCTGAAAATAATGAATTTGTTCTGTTTTTTCTTCTTTATTATTATTTTTCTTCTGTATCTTTTACTTTCTTATATTTTTATTTTTATTTTTGTATTTTTTTGTGTAAGCTTTTGTATTTTCTATTTTTTGTTTTTGTGTAAGTTTTGTATTTTTTGAAATCTCAATAAATATCATTAAAAAAATAAAATAAATAAAATAAATGTATGCAGCTCAAAGTTGGTATCTGAGGGAAAGGAAGTTCTGCTTATTCCTGTTATAACCAATCCTCCCCGCCCCTGTCAGCAAAAATAAACTTAAGTCTATGAATATATGAATATGGAGGCAGAGTCCCCTCAGAGGCGAAGCCTCGGTTCTTTTTGCCCTTTTGTGTCACACTGCCACTTGAAATAAGCACATTGAAATACCTGGTGACAAAGCTTCTTTGACTCTAGGCATGAAACATTAGTTCTGTTCTCTTGCTGGGCTATGAGCCTATGGAGCAAGGTTTGTAGGAGACCTTCTTTGAGGAAGAATAAGCCAGCAGTGAGGAGAAGGAAGCCGTTTGGATCACACCCTACAGGGTCTGGGAGAGCTCCAAAGTTCCATTTGCAAGGAATTCATGGCAAGAGAATGGAGTGTATTCTGTTAAGCATGTGTGGGCTGTAGTATTAAGGGCAGTGGTTCCCAATTAGCTAAGTATTGAGGACCTCCTTGTTTTTCAAAGCCAAGCCATGGACCCCCTACATTTTGAAAAGCGATATGGTAGTTTTTGTTATGTGAATGGTGCCATGGACTCTCTGGGTTATGTAGACACCCGCCCCCCCAGGGTCCACAGACCGCCAACTGGGAGCAACTGGCCTAGAGGCTTTTGTTGTGGCGGGGAGGGGCTGTTGATATTATTTTTTTGTATCTTTATTTTAGATCTTATTGTGATTTATGTGAAAATTGTTCGGTTTGGTTGTGTATTTTTTAATGTTGTATCTATTGTTTATGAATGCTTTTGTTATGTTGCAGCTATATACTTTTTCATGTTGTAAGCAGCCTTGAGCATGGTTTTAACTATGGAAAGGCGGAATACTAATAACATTATGTATGTATGTATGTTCCTCTCCACGGAACTATTTAGTGAAAGGTGAAAGATTTATATGATCTGAAGAGAAACCCAAGTATGTATGTATGTATGTATGTATGTATGCTTGTGAAATATTGCAGATCGTGAGAACTTTTAAACTTTGATTTTATTGTGGAAGCTTTATTTATGTTGTGCTTAATATATATTTAATCCCAGTTTGCAGCTGCAAATTGTCTTGTAAACATAATACATTGCTGAACATGCCCTAGGTGGCAGCAGCAGAATGAAATATTAGTGGGGAAGGGAGAAATGTTTTCCCCGATTAATTCAAATGCCCATTAATAAAATAAAAAGTGTGTGTGTGAGAGAGAATGATACACACGCGCGCGCACACACACACACACACACACACACTTGGGAGGTGTTTTGAGCTCCATAAGAGATTGTTTTAAACTGGCCAGCATTTAACCCTACACTTGCTGATATTCAATTTTTAATGTTGATGCATTTTTGGTCAAAATCTGGAATAATAGAAAAAAAATGCTTTGTCCTCAGATTGGTTTTAAATTCTGTGGCTCAGCTCTGGAGCATCTAAACAACGATAAAGTGGGAGAGGAAGTGTCTATGGGGCCAGGAGCTGCCAGTTGAGTCAGCTCTATAGTTATGTATGTAAAACATTTTTACCTTGCCATTCATTGCCAAAGGAACTTCCAGTTCAGGTTACTAGTTAAAGCATAAATAAAATATATAAACAGACACTTAAAGCAGGCAGATCACGACCAGAGTGCTCCAGTTGGACAGTAAACTCCAGGAAAAGCCTCGACAAATAATCAGGTCTTTAACTGGTACTAGAAATTCAGCAGCATCAGGCCTTCTCAGTATTGGCACCCGCCCTGAGGAACGCCTTCCCATCCTATGCCAAACAGATAAAACACGTATTTGAGTTTTAGAAGACATCTGAAGGCAGCACTGTTCAGGGAAGTCATTAATGGTTGATGTTTTCTTGCGTTTTTAATACTTTGCTGGGAGCTGCCCAGAGTGGCTGGGTGGCATATAAATAATAAATTTATTCTTGTTATTATTGGCACCAGTTGTATCGCAAAGGGGAAGGAGTTCCAAAGCTGGGGTGTTTCTCGTCTGTGTGGCTTCAGAAAAAGGTTGAACTTCAGGAAAAGGTTGCACTGCTGAGATCTCCTGGCTGATCTGTTTGTGCAGGCTCCTTTATAGGGGAGCAGGCATTCTCTCAGGTAACCAGGCCCCATGTTGTTTAGGACTTTCAGCTAGTACAAGAATGGTCTCTGTAGCATTTCGACAGCCAGTGCAATTCTTTCAGAACTGGTGTTACATGTGCACAAACAGGCCGTCTCCATCTGGGATGTAGCTGCAGCGTTCTCCAATTAACAGCAGATTTCAGCCCCATGTGGAGTGCATTATAGTAATCCAGTCTTAAGGTTACCAATCCATGGGTCGTGAGACAGAGCAATCATGAGGCAGAGTGAGTTAGCCACCTCAGACATCGTTTTTTGAGGGACAGAGCTGTGTGGGCTGCAAAGCCTGCCCGGGACCAGCGGCGTAGCGTGGGTTGTCAGCACCCGGGGCAAGGCAAGTAATTTGCGCCCCCTAACCTGCCGCCGCTGCCAGCTTCTTCTTGCTGCTGCCTGGTCTGGTCTGGTCTGGTTCTCTCCCGCGCTCAGCGCTGCGCTGGGCGGCCGCTGCACTGTCCCTCCCCCAGATAGTCCCTCGCTCTCTCTCCGCACCGCACGCCTGGCACCCACCCCCTCCACAGTGGGCGGCGACCCAGCGGCTCGGATCGGATTCGCACAGCCAGCACTGCAGTGAGAGAGTGTGAGTGAGCCAGGTAGAGGCAGAGAGCTGCGAGTGCGAGCGCCCCCCCCCCCAGATGTTGCGCCCGGTGCGGCCGGCCCCCCCTGCACCCCCCACGCTACGCCACTGCCCGGGACATAGCTAGGCTGCTTCCCTCAGGCACAGTGGAGGTTGTCGTCTCATTGCCAGGGTTGAAGTAAGAGTTAGCTGTCATCCTGGTCCGCTTCTATGCAAGGGGTAACCATAGAGAAAAAGCAGCTGTGGTGTCTTTTGTCTGTTTCTGATCTGGCCCTGACAGTCGCTTCATTACCCAACATGCTGTAGTTGATCAGGATTCCAGGTAAAAGAGCCAAGAATGGAAGGGAAAGGAGACAGGAGAGACTGTAGCATTGGGAGACTTTGCAGAAATTGGATTATTTATTTGGCTTTGAACCTGGCACTTACTGGGAATGTGCAGGGTGCTGTTCTCTCACATCTGAGTTACCTGCAGCTGCCCTGACAAGACGAGGAATGAGGGACCGTGAGGGAAAGGCAAGGCTGACCCTGTGTGCACTAAAAGCACAGCTCAGAACACCCTGCATCCACATTGCAGAAGATTCTGTGGCCATTGAGCTTGCACAGGGAATCAAGAATGCAGGAATCTGCATGAGATTCCATACATGCTTCTGGCTCGACAGGAACCCTCTGAATAGTATTGGCAGAGGCACCCACCAAGCCTCAGTTTCCTGTATGATAGAACAAATTCCTTGCGACATGTGGAATGTGGCGTATTCATTGCTTGCCCTGGCCCAGGAGAATGGTGTTGTTCTGTTGCCAATGCAAGACTTAGTAGTCCTCTTTCTCCTCTGGGCTGTGTACACACTCAACTGTGTAGCACAAAAATGTAGCTAAGAATCCTTCATTCTCATCCTCAAGGCGCTGCTTTCGGTCCTGGGTGCGCTTGGAAACTCCCATTGATTAGGTTATCCATGCCTTTTCCTCCCTGCACATGCCTCAGCTGAATGAAGAAGGAAGTGGCAATTCCAATATTGAAATACACCCACTTACGTCATTGGATAGTAAAGGTAAAGGGACCCCTGACCATTAGGTCCAGTTGTGGCCGACTCTGGGGTTGCGGAGCTCATCTCGCTTTATTGGCTGAGGGAGCCGGCATACAGCTTCCGGGTCATGTGGCCAGCATGACTAAGCCGCTTCTGGCAAACCACAGCAGCGCACGGAAACGCTGTTTGCCTTCCCGCTAGAGCGGTACCTA